CTAACAAACTTCTGGCAGTAAATAACATGTTTGGATCTGAAATTAATTTTTAGCACATTTGAAAAATCAGTAAAATTATTTGAAGTTTAACATCCAAAGCTCACTGAGCTACAATTTTTTCAAATTGTAAACTTTTAATTCTGTATCTTGTAATTATTGAAAACATGCAAAAACAAATATTTGATTTTTCTTTGTTGTTGTTCATATTCTAATTAAACAATTTAGTGTTTTTGCTTAATTTTTAGTTTTAATAATTTTTATAAAATGACTTCATCTAAAAATAANTTTAATAAATTTAATATTTAGTTATAAACTAATTAATAGTTGTGCAATGTTTGATTTGGCAAGTTGATTTTATATATTTTATAATTAGAACAGTTTTACATAAAAATTAAAGTCCACTCACACCCTATAAAATTGTATACAAATCGTGGTGTAAATTAGGTGGGTGCAACAGAGCTCGGGGCAAAGAAATTGTCAAATATACTGTAATAATTTTTTTGTTTATAAATACATGTGAATGATGATGACATATATTTCTTGTGGGCACAAAAATTATTTAATTTTTACCATATTTATTTTATCTCCAAAAATTAAGGACCCCAAAACTGAACCTTACAGGGAAATTTAAAAAAAAATATATTTTTCATAATGTTGGGTGTATTTGTGAAAAATAATAAAACTACAGTATATTGTATTTTTAATTCTTTGCAAATGAGGGATGCACAACCCTTAATTAAACCCCCAAAATCCAATGTGTCCAGCCTCGACGTACACTAGATTGATTGAACTTTTTTTAAACTAATTTTAAATCAAAGGGCTTTTACTGATTTTGTAGTAGTGATTACAAAAGAAAAATTTGAAGTTTGACTTTTTTCCTAAATTACCAGTAAAATATTTAATTGCTGTTAGACTTGTTGTTACTTGTAAATTTTACTCAAAAGTAAATTCAAATTCTTTGAAACCAGAACATTTAAATTGTTTTTATTTAAAAATTGCTTTTAAAATATGACCACAATTTTAAAGGAAATTTTGTAGAACAAGATATTTTGTAAGTGATATTCTAAGTAATTCACTATATATTAGGTAAGTACTTTATTAAATTATTTTACCACAATTATCTAATTGTAATTTTGAAGTATATCTGATTATTATATCAAATTTAATCTTAATTTTCTAAGCTTCAAAGTGTCATATATTTTATTTCAAATAATTTTGTAGAAATATCTCTCTCTCATATTTGATACTATTGTCCAAATTTTTTGAATTTTACTATAAAAATTGGTAGAAAATTGTAAAAAACATTTACAACAAATACTAAAGTCAACAATACCTTTCCATTTTTAGAAACATTAAAAGATTCAATGATAAATAGTAGTATTCCGAGAAGTAAAATGTAATAATTTTAATGATTTTTTTTTTATATGGGAATTGTAAATTTTATTGTTAATAGATTATCTTGTGTTATGGATTGACAAAGCAAGATATGTTTATAAAAATCTATCAAGCGATTCTAAGTATAAGAATGCATAACGTCATATGTATAATCTATAGTTTTTGTTATGATTCAATGAGTTGATATTCTAGAAGGATATTGCACTTACTTAATCATGCATTGATGATGTCATTGATCTAATTTTTCTCTTATAAATTTTGCAATATCCTTCTAATACAATATTACAAGATTTTATTCACATGTATTTGTATTAGAAGGATATTATATATATATATATTATATATACATGGTTGGTTGGTTAAATCTTAGACAAGAAATTTGTTAAAATTAGAAACAAAAAATTTTAACTAATACCAAAAAAAAAAAATGGTTTTATTGGATTCATACAGGTAAATTTATAAAACTGTCAGTATATATTGTTTTAAATTAAAATCAGTAAAAACTTTTTATTTTAACTTTGTTTTTAATTTGTTTTTATACTTGTCTGCAGAGATAGGCATATCCCCCCAATATGATATGTCCCCCGATTATTGTATCAGCAACTTGCTCCCTCCCAACATATTTTTATTTTATACCATAATATAAAAATTAAAATAGGAAGGAGTACTGTGTACACACAATATTCCTTATTTTGTTGTAGGCATGTATCTACTCAAAACTGAGTAGTGAGAAATTTTTCTTTTTTTGACAAGCAGACATTTTATAATTTTGAACCAAAGCTATTCAATTAACTGCATTTTAACTGAAACTAATTATTATTCTAATTAATTTTTTAAGAAAAAATAATCGAGTTTCAGATTTGATTTGTTTTATAGTACTGTGATTTTAATAATTTGTTAATCTAAATTATATTAAAAATATATGTATAATAAAAATTGAGGATATGCTTTATGCATAGAAGTGATTTTAATAAGGATACGATCAATTTATATATTTTGATTGTTTCTCGAATTGCTTTCTTATTAACTTCAATTGATACAAGTTTCATAACTTAAGTGCACTTTTTACTGTTGAAATAAAACTAAAAGTTACTCTCATCAAGTTTGAATGTTTTTATAATGATTAATATTTTTGTCTATCAATAAAAATGTCAAGGCATAATGAATATATATATATATATGTAGGGCCTATTAGATGCAATTAAGACATTACCATAAATTATAGAATAATTTTTAATTACACTATATTCATGAATACAAATTTGAATGTGTATATGCATATATATACACATTTGTTTGATATAGCTATAATATAAAGTTTATGCAAATTAATTAATCGAAGGTAACAAAAATATGATTAAGTTTATAGCATATTTTAATGGTCTTCTAAAGAAAAATGTATTTTAAATATTTTCCAGTTATGTTTCCATTGATTAAATAATCAATAATCTAAGAATATAATTCTAGAAATAGATAGAATAAAACTATTTTTGAAGTTATGAAATATCTGTATACAAGTTAAAACTTTTGTTAGAGAAAATTAGTTTAGTTCTGAGAAGAAAGAAAATATGAAACAGTAAAAAATAGAAAAAAAATACTAAAATATTCAATCTAAAGTGAATTTATCATCTTGTTTTTATTTTATTAGTTTATTTCTGGCATAGAATATATGAAAAAATTTATTAGCATAAATGTACTGTAATAGTATTTATATTATTGCTAAATAAATGAGTTTAGAACTAAAATATATAGATTAGGCTATACATAAAATATACATAGCCTACATATTTTATATTTAAAACTATGTAGTATATTACATATTTTAGTTAAAGTATCTTTTATTTATAATCATTAATCATTTGCAAAAATTTAGAATAGTTTAGTATTACAATATTCTATAAATTATTATATATTAATTGAGATGATGAATAATAAATAAATTGATGCTAACTTAAGTACTAATGTAAATAGAATTATTAAAATTAAATAGTGGGGGGAAAAAATGTTTTGATACAGTCTGTGATTGTTGCATTGACCACTTATTAAAAATATGTACACACTGTTTTTGAGTCTAATTCTCCAGTTCTAGTTCATAACTTTCCTTATTTTATTTTTTCTAATGAAGTAATATAAACAGGAGTTTCCAACTCAAATAATAATACTTTTTTAACATACTAGAATAACAAGTTTTGCACAACTTTGCTTTTGTGTTCTTATATTTATATATATAATGAAATTGTTTGTTTTTTCCAAAATAATTTTAATCTACTATAACTTAAAGAAATAATTATAATATATTTGTTCTTAAGATGTTTTTTACAGCTAAATAAATAGGATTATTATTTGGATTGTGTTAGGTGGAATGAAATTTTATCACAAGGAAGATATTTTTATAATTGTTTACAATGCATGAATAATTATACAATTTATTATTTTATCTCATTAGTGTTACCAAAAATAGATTGCTATATATAAGAATTTAATTAAGTTTGTGATTTGTAAGATATAAATTTATAATCTTTTAATAGTCTCCGATCTGTTAGATTTTTAAAAATAGAAAATAGCCACAATAAATCATACTCTCCACTCTTTGATAGACAAGTGAAAAGAACAAAAGGATAAATTATAATTGTGACTATCTGGAAAATTAGCTTAAGCATAATTCAATTGCACTTTTGTAAGGTGAATATGGTGTTTATTACTAAAATACACATAAAGCATGGATTATTAGAACATTATTTATTTTGCAAATAAAAGCATAAAAGTCTAATTAAAAGGAATAGAAACAATGTAATAATGAATAAATTATCTGATCGTTTTTTTTTAAAGATTATATTATTTAAGTGGAATAAAAATCATTGACATATGGGGGAAAAAATATTCTTTTGGTTTAACTGTTTTAATGTTTTTGTTTTATTTAAAATTTGGCCCACTCAGTAGTATAAATTATAGTAAAAGTGAAGTAATATGCTTATTCATAATTGATTTAAAATTCTATAAACTGATTGCGGAATTAAATTTTAAAATGTTGATTCCATACACTTTGAATTTAATTTTGAGTCATAGGTATGAGGTTTTTTGTAAAATGTTTTTAAATTCCTGACGAATAATCAAATAAATATTATGGCNCTCATCAAAAAAAAAGTTCAATCATTTTTCTGTATGAAAATTGTTCTTTTAATTCACATGAATTTTTTTTATAAAGTTTTTAATATTTAAACAACCTAAATTTTTATTTCACATGGCCTACACTAATATTTAAGAAGTCCATCATGTCGATATAGAGTAGTTCTAATATTTTGTTAATGTTAAATGTAAAATATAGAATTTATTACAATTAGCTTCTTGTTGTCTTATTATTTAATTTTATACTATCACTGTATTGTATTTAAGGAGCTTATCAAATATTGAGCTATTTTACTATTTATAATAAATGATAAGCTCTTTAAATATAATACATAACAGTTAGTATAAAATTAGATTTGAATTAGTAGAGAAAAATGAAGATAAATTGTATCATTGCAATTTGCATATGTCACCTGTTTTAATATTAGTGTTTTGAATAAAAAAAAAGATTAAAACTAAGTTTTTTCTTTTTTTTCCAGGTACATGCTTATGTTATCAGTGCTCTTAGAAAAGAAATGCCTTCAGTTTTTGGTAAAGATAGCAAAAAGAAAGAACTCATCAAAAATCTGGGAAACATTTATGCAGAAATTGAACGAGAGCATCAGATTTCTTTAGGAGATTTTCCAGATATGAAATTAATGCAAGAAAAATTAATCCTTCAAGATTTTCAGAAATTTAATCCTCTAAAGCCAAAGTTATTAGAAACAGTGGACCAGATGTTAGCGGAAGATATTGCTCGTATCATGGCAATGATTCCTCACGAACAAATACAACAGAGAGAAGAAACAAATGTCAAAGGTGGAGTTATGGATGGTCTGAAGGATAGCCCATTTGGATATGGTCGGGGTGAAGGAGCAGATGCAGGTTCTCTGCAAACAGATTGGATAGTTGATAAAGAAAGATACAAGTATGATGAAATATTTGATAATTTGGGTCCAATTAATGGAAAGATATCTGGTGCACTTGCAAAAGCTGAAATGGTCAAATCTAAATTGCCTAATTCAGTGTTAGGTAAAATATGGAAATTATCAGATGTTGATAAAGATGGTATGTTGGATGCAGATGAATTTGCTTTAGCCATGCATTTGATTAATATTAAACTTGATGGACACGAAATGCCAGCAGAATTACCAGAACATCTCATTCCACCTGCAAAGAGACGCAACAGATAATCTGCTAATGTTATTTATGAGTCATGTGCAATATTGAGAATATTTACATAAAAATTGTACTTATATATTAAAGATGTAAATTATTTTAAATAATTCACTTGCAATGTGCAGTTGGTCACATGCATAATTCCTCAATAACATTGAAATGTCAATATAAACCAAAGCAAATTTTATGTACAATATTATATAATTATTTCAAGTTTATTTTGTTGTTTTTTTAATCATTTTATGATAAATTTGATGTAATTAATGTTCCTTAATATTGTTATACTCATTTACATAAATTCTATTTTACCATATTGTGGAAACTTGTTAAACTTTCTATTTTTGTAGCTGAAAGGGACCAATTTTCTGTTAGTATTCAGTTATTAAATGCTGCATTAAATGTAAGATTTTTTTTTTGAAATAAAATTTCTGTATAAAGAATGAATTGTTAACAGGATAGTAAATGACCTATATGCTAAATAGAATTGAAGATAAGATCAACTTGAATGAACTAGTTTTGACAATGGTTTTGAAGGATTTTCTTGACATACATACTCGATGACCTGAATAAGCTACATCATCCAGATCTATAGAAAGTTATTCAGTAAGAGCACTTCCAACAAATTACAAGAATATAAGACGATGTTTACATCATATATATATTTTTAATAGAATAATTGATTATTAAACTTTTCAGCTTTTGATTATATCATATTCCAATAATTATTAAAAATATTATGTAAGTTCTTATATAAAATTTTATTTAAACGTGTTTTTATATTTTAAATATATATATAGACTATTATTAAATTTCAAAATCCTTAATGTATTAGTTAATCTTTATCCTACTAGGAACTACTATCATATTTAATGAAGTGAGGTTTATTACCACATACAATATCGGTTATAAAAATGTTTTGAAATTGAAAAAAAAATTAAATTATAACAACTCTGAAATGTAATATAGAATTGTAATAATTGAACTGTTTCACAATGTTGTTCTTGTTTCATTAATTATCTAGTGAAACAGTTTATGTAGACATTATGAAAAATAACAGCATTCAACTGTGTTGCTTAGTTTAGCATTAAATATGTACTGGTACCTTTTTGTATTTCAGGAATGTAGGTTCAATTAAATTATTAAATAAGTGTTTATATACAATATATAGAAGATAATAGCTTTTAATTCTATTAGTTATGTGCATAATAAGTTTTTATATTATATAATTAGACTAAAATTTGTTTATAATATGCTAGTAATACTGATTATTAAAATTTTAAACAAAACTAAGAATGTGCTGAAGTTTTTATAAAATTGGTTTTCACTTTTTTTAACTATATTCTGTCTAATTTAGTATTACAAATAGTGTACTCTAATCTCTTTTGTAAACAAGCAATTAAGTTTATCATTTAGAATTGTTTTTAGATAATTTTTTAATCATATTTCATATGCATGCTCATACACAAATGTATCTATCTGTGTACTGTGGTGTGTGAATTTGCATCTTACTATCCAATCATACCTACAAGTTTTTTTGAACTTTTGCTTAGGAAATACTTTAAACTTTTTTTTCTAAAGGAAAGAGCTGCATTAAGATGATAGTCTATTTTTTTCTAGTTATAAGTGTTTTTAATAAATTAGTTTTTTGCTGTTATAAAATTCTGATGATTAATCTGAACAATTTTTGTTTTGAAATCTTAAAACTTTTAGTTCAAAGTTGTCTGCTAGGATTTGACCTGGCTTTAATTTTCTACTGAAATAACAGTATTTGCGAAAGTAATTGTTACATAAAATATATGTTTTATGTAACAAACTGATTATACTTAAAGATTATATATACTGTATATATATATTACTTTTTTATTTATTTTTTTTCTCCCATATTTACTTTAAGTATGAGGGAAAAACTTGTAGTCTTTATAATAATTGTAGGTAATGTTTATTGTTTATGCATTATACAAATTAAGATGTTACTTAATAGTGTATAGGCTATATTTATTTCTGGCATTTTTAGTATAATTCATCAAAAGTTTTGATACATGAATTATCTTGGTGCTGAATTCATAGTTTGTTATCATTAAAAAAGTATTGTAATCAGTTAAAATCTACATACATGAAATGTAATTCTCATATTTAAAAAATGAATACTAACAAACTTCTGGCAGTAAATAACATGTTTGGATCTGAAATTAATTTTTAGCACATTTGAAAAATCAGTAAAATTATTTGAAGTTTAACATCCAAAGCTCACTGAGCTACAATTTTTTCAAATTGTAAACTTTTAATTCTGTATCTTGTAATTATTGAAAACATGCAAAAACAAATATTTGATTTTTCTTTGTTGTTGTTCATATTCTAATTAAACAATTTAGTGTTTTTGCTTAATTTTTAGTTTTAATAATTTTTATAAAATGACTTCATCTNAATACCAAAAAAAAAAAATGGTTTTATTGGATTCATACAGGTAAATTTATAAAACTGTCAGTATATATTGTTTTAAATTAAAATCAGTAAAAACTTTTTATTTTAACTTTGTTTTTAATTTGTTTTTATACTTGTCTGCAGAGATAGGCATATCCCCCCAATATGATATGTCCCCCGATTATTGTATCAGCAACTTGCTCCCTCCCAACATATTTTTATTTTATACCATAATATAAAAATTAAAATAGGAAGGAGTACTGTGTACACACAATATTCCTTATTTTGTTGTAGGCATGTATCTACTCAAAACTGAGTAGTGAGAAATTTTTCTTTTTTTGACAAGCAGACATTTTATAATTTTGAACCAAAGCTATTCAATTAACTGCATTTTAACTGAAACTAATTATTATTCTAATTAATTTTTTAAGAAAAAATAATCGAGTTTCAGATTTGATTTGTTTTATAGTACTGTGATTTTAATAATTTGTTAATCTAAATTATATTAAAAATATATGTATAATAAAAATTGAGGATATGCTTTATGCATAGAAGTGATTTTAATAAGGATACGATCAATTTATATATTTTGATTGTTTCTCGAATTGCTTTCTTATTAACTTCAATTGATACAAGTTTCATAACTTAAGTGCACTTTTTACTGTTGAAATAAAACTAAAAGTTACTCTCATCAAGTTTGAATGTTTTTATAATGATTAATATTTTTGTCTATCAATAAAAATGTCAAGGCATAATGAATATATATATATATATGTAGGGCCTATTAGATGCAATTAAGACATTACCATAAATTATAGAATAATTTTTAATTACACTATATTCATGAATACAAATTTGAATGTGTATATGCATATATATACACATTTGTTTGATATAGCTATAATATAAAGTTTATGCAAATTAATTAATCGAAGGTAACAAAAATATGATTAAGTTTATAGCATATTTTAATGGTCTTCTAAAGAAAAATGTATTTTAAATATTTTCCAGTTATGTTTCCATTGATTAAATAATCAATAATCTAAGAATATAATTCTAGAAATAGATAGAATAAAACTATTTTTGAAGTTATGAAATATCTGTATACAAGTTAAAACTTTTGTTAGAGAAAATTAGTTTAGTTCTGAGAAGAAAGAAAATATGAAACAGTAAAAAATAGAAAAAAAATACTAAAATATTCAATCTAAAGTGAATTTATCATCTTGTTTTTATTTTATTAGTTTATTTCTGGCATAGAATATATGAAAAAATTTATTAGCATAAATGTACTGTAATAGTATTTATATTATTGCTAAATAAATGAGTTTAGAACTAAAATATATAGATTAGGCTATACATAAAATATACATAGCCTACATATTTTATATTTAAAACTATGTAGTATATTACATATTTTAGTTAAAGTATCTTTTATTTATAATCATTAATCATTTGCAAAAATTTAGAATAGTTTAGTATTACAATATTCTATAAATTATTATATATTAATTGAGATGATGAATAATAAATAAATTGATGCTAACTTAAGTACTAATGTAAATAGAATTATTAAAATTAAATAGTGGGGGGAAAAAATGTTTTGATACAGTCTGTGATTGTTGCATTGACCACTTATTAAAAATATGTACACACTGTTTTTGAGTCTAATTCTCCAGTTCTAGTTCATAACTTTCCTTATTTTATTTTTTCTAATGAAGTAATATAAACAGGAGTTTCCAACTCAAATAATAATACTTTTTTAACATACTAGAATAACAAGTTTTGCACAACTTTGCTTTTGTGTTCTTATATTTATATATATAATGAAATTGTTTGTTTTTTCCAAAATAATTTTAATCTACTATAACTTAAAGAAATAATTATAATATATTTGTTCTTAAGATGTTTTTTACAGCTAAATAAATAGGATTATTATTTGGATTGTGTTAGGTGGAATGAAATTTTATCACAAGGAAGATATTTTTATAATTGTTTACAATGCATGAATAATTATACAATTTATTATTTTATCTCATTAGTGTTACCAAAAATAGATTGCTATATATAAGAATTTAATTAAGTTTGTGATTTGTAAGATATAAATTTATAATCTTTTAATAGTCTCCGATCTGTTAGATTTTTAAAAATAGAAAATAGCCACAATAAATCATACTCTCCACTCTTTGATAGACAAGTGAAAAGAACAAAAGGATAAATTATAATTGTGACTATCTGGAAAATTAGCTTAAGCATAATTCAATTGCACTTTTGTAAGGTGAATATGGTGTTTATTACTAAAATACACATAAAGCATGGATTATTAGAACATTATTTATTTTGCAAATAAAAGCATAAAAGTCTAATTAAAAGGAATAGAAACAATGTAATAATGAATAAATTATCTGATTGTTTTTTTTTTAAAGATTATATTATTTAATTGGAATAAAAATCATTGACATATGGGGGAAAAAATATTCTTTTGGTTTAACTGTTTTAATGTTTTTGTTTTATTTAAAATTTGGCCCACTCAGTAGTATAAATTATAGTAAAAGTGAAGTAATATGCTTATTCATAATTGATTTAAAATTCTATAAACTGATTGCGGAATTAAATTTTAAAATGTTGATTCCATACACTTTGAATTTAGAGTCATAGGTATGAGGTTTTTTGTAAAATGTTTTTAAATTCCTGACGAATAATCAAATAAATATTACGGCTTTTAATTAAATCAGTTATTGAATAAGCGCACAATTTAATTATCAATAAAACTTTGAAAAGGAATTTTGAGGAACTAAGCAAGCTGATGAATAATAAATATCATAATAGGCTTTCATTTGACATTTATTTAATTATTATTAACAAAAAACTAATTTAACTTCAAGAAAGAGAACCTTTATAATGAATTACATAAAAAAAACTTTATGAATTATAGTCATATGCAATTACTTCATATGTATAAGTTTACATGCATTATTATTTAAAACTTCTAAATTTTTATCTCATTGCAAAATTTAGTATTAGAATTCTTTTCTGATCAAAAATTTTATAGGTGTGGAGAATTTTTGAGAAATTTTTTCTGTATTTGAAGATTTTACATAATCATTGATCTATATTTGAAATAAATAAATAAATTATTCCATGCATGAAATCACTAATACTTATAACTGAATATAAGAATTATTTATTAGGCATTTTACTTCATAGAAAATTATAGCTATTGCAAATTAAATAAGTTCCACTATTTATTTTCAAGGAAAATTACTTAATATATTTTTATCCTATATCATGAAAAAACTGGATTTCATGGAAATACCAAAGTAGAAAACAACACAAATATTACAAAATATAATTTATAATGTCCTTCATCCCAAGTGACCAAACAACTAGCTTTAATTAATTATCTTACTGCCAAACGACTTATAAAACTGAGCCTAGGCCCATACCTATTATCAATATGTAAAACAATTTAAATACATTAATATATCTATAATGGCTGTTTATATTTTGTTTTCATGTGTGTTAATTTTTTATTGTTCTAAATCTATATAAGAATACATTTACATGTCGTGTACTAATGTTTATCATGTGCTTGAATTAACCTCACGTTTTTATTGACCTTCTGTTTTTATTCTACTTTTATTATAATGAAATTTCAAGGCGGAAGTGAACTAATAACCTTCAACACCTGATTAACCATTCGTAACTTGAATATAGTTGAAAAGAGGCAATATAAGAGTTTAAATCATTATATTTTCATTTTTTAATATATTTAAGAATCTTTTTAAAATTTTAAATATTCATATTAAATATGTTTTCAACATTATCTAAGTTTATTTCTACGAATATCTGATCTTTAAAGGTCAAATAATCATAGAAATATTTATAAAATGTTAACAAAACAATCAATTTTTCTACATTTAACTCTCGAAAAATCAATATTTTTATAGCGTAGGCTTAAAATATATTCATTTTAAAAGGGCCTCAACAGTGACGCGTGGGTCCAGGCAAATTTGTTTTAAGGGGCCCTCATGTACTGTAGTGTTGAATTAAGATATTTTTTGGGGGGAAAATTTTCTTATAAAAGATTGGCTTGAAGTTTTTACCAATAGATGACCCAAACCAATCTTTTATAAGAAAATCAATTGCCCTTTTTGCCCATAGTCCATACCGCGGTCNCCAATCGGTATTCATTATTTTACATCGCTTCTTGTGTTTGTTCTGTGAACTGTTTGTTATCTGATTTGTTTGTTAACCAATCACCCACTGTATAGGTTTTAATGTCTAGTTTAACTTTTTAACTACATATGGATGATATAATTTATCCATAGATTTAGAAAAATTATTGCATATTATATATTTATAAAAAATTCTATTAAGTAAATGATCACACTTCAGTAAAGAACTCAATTGTTGAAACTTAAAAAATGCTAAAGATATTTCATGTCATGTATGAAGTTTTAGCCTTTTTAGAAGCTGTCTTATATAAGATGTGGGGTAATATTTTTTCTTTATCTCCCATAGGCTAATGAATTTCCCAAATAGACCAACTCTCGAATAAAAATGTTGTTTAATGATTCATACATCAAAAGCTGTTTATGATTATTATTAAAATACACAATAATATTTTAAACTCATCTTTTCCCGATTAAAAAGTATAATGCATGTCATTATTTATTTTAAATGAATATTTAAATTCCACCCTTTTAAACAGACGACAGCCACAAAAAGAATAGCCAATCGCAAGTGAGCGCACAAAGTTTTCTTTTTGTATGCTCACTCGTGATTGGCTATTTTCTAATAACTAATTTAAAATCCACCAGTAATTTAAACTCGAGAGCAATAAGCTTTATAAATAAATAAATTTTCATGAATTTTAACTCTTCTGCATTATTAATTAAAATATACTTTCGATTAGGAAGGAAAAAAAAGCAGACGACATTTTAACTTTAAAAAAAGATATCGTCTGCCTACTTGTAATTGGTTATTTCCAGTTACCATGGAAACCTTTATAACCTTTATCATCCGCCATTTTTAAAATCGGGAAGCAATTTTTTTTGAGTGAGTATTTTAACGTTATTTATTTATAAAAACTGTAGGAAATGAAATTTGCTTGTTTAAACACAATTTCCTTACAAATCTCTAATTAAAAGAATGTTTTAGTCATTAAAATGATAAGGATAAATCCGGTTTGATTAAAACGAAAATGTCATAACAGGAAAAAAAAAATGTTAAATTATTAAATTATAAATGCAGAAAGGAAGATGGGAATTCTATTTAATGACATCACGGGATATTATTTTTCATTACGTAATAATAAATACTTAGAAATTCAGCTTTTCAATGTTATCCTTTATTAGGCATTTATCAAATTTCAGTTCTAATCACGTGACAGCTATATACAGTTTACATATTAATTTACAAGCACATGTGACAAAAAGATTTCTGTTTAATTCAGTATAAAAAAAAGTAATTGAATAAATTATTGAGTTTAAATTGAAATTATGTTAATAAATTATTCTATTTTATCAAATTTATAAACTTCAAAAGAGTTCAAAATCAGGGGGAAATTAATTGTCAAGAGACCCTTCTTATTATATATGCAAAATATAAATAAATTATACCTTATCCAAAATACATGCACAAAATTTTTATTTACTATGTAGTGTTTGATGAATTAACATTGAAAGAATGAATTAACATGAATGTAATTTGTATGAAAGACTGTATTGTTCTTATTTAAATAAAGATTAAGAAAGATAACGACAGATAACAAATAAATTACTTTGTTTTATTATTACTATTGTATTTATTTAGTTAATTTTAATGTGTTACATCTATATGTTTAAATTATTGTTAAATAATACATATTTGTATAGAAACAGAGTGCATTTAATGTATTTAACAACTTAGATGTAATTAAAAATGAAATTTTCAAAAAAGCATGAATTGATTCACACATATAACTATATAAATGCAATATTATTTTAAAAATAATTAAAGTAATAAAATAATGATGATACAAGTATGTCACTGTGTTTTTATTTCGAGTGTAGGAATTTTAAAATAAAAATTTTCAGTTCAAAAATATAGAATTACCTCACCCTTTTTATTAGGTTAATACTATATAAAATTTGTGTAGAAAATGTTTTGTATTTTTATAAATTTTAAGAAAATATCATTTTTAATTTTTCTTCAAGTTTAAATGTTCCAAAATTCCAGATTTTGCTCTAAAATAAATTCAGAATTCCAAATATAAAAATTAAAAGTTCAGGTTTTATATATTATCATTTTAAAATAGTAAGAATTTAAATTATTTTAACCAGGAAAAAGTTAAATTGGTTGGATGCCATAGTAAATATATTATGTGCTCTAATATTTGCATGAACAGATCGGGAAAATTGGCAAAAGGCCTTCGGATAAATGAAGAAATGCTGAATTCGCTATTTTTATTCTTACTATTAAAAATACGCACGGAATGTTAACAATTCAAAATAAAATTAGCTTTTCTGCTAATTAAAATTATTTTAATAAGCAGAAAGTTAAGAACGATTCTGTTTCAACCAGCAGGAATGATCTTATTAATTTTCGAATTATTCGAAGATCAATAAGATCACTCCTGCTGTTTGAAACAGAAGTTAAAAACGAAGATTCATTCATACAGTTCAATTATTCAGAAAAGTATTGAAATTTTTAAAATTTTATTGAAGATTGATAAAATGTTTATCCTAAATTTGGGGAAACTTTATTAATGTTAATAATGTTAACTTTAATTATTTTACAAATTGCACGGTAATTGCAAGTATAATTTTTTGTATTTATAATTAATTAATTAATTAATTTTTAATTGTAACTAATAAAAAGAAGAGAGAGAGATTTCATTTTAGTTTTATATCATTTTCTTTAAAATTATTTTGAGTAATTTAAAAATAAAGAGAAATTGTAGAATATATTTCAATACAATTACAGATGGAATAATCTTTAAAAAATAAGATTATTTATAATTTTAATTTTTTCATTTATGAATATAATAAAGGAAGAGTATAATATTCCTGTATATATCAAATAAACTTCGAAAAAATTTTTAACATTTGTTTTACAAAGAATATATTTGCATAATTTAAGTAAATATTTAGAGAAAAGATAGCTTTGTCGCCCTAGAAATAAAAATAAAATATGGATATTTTTTGTTTAATATGAAAAGTATCTTATCTTCCATCTATAAACAAACATTGCAGTTGGTTTAATCGAATTTCAGTTCATCTAAGAATTAATAATAATACCGGTAATAAATGTAGGTGTTCTTTATACTAAACATCAGATTCATTATAATAGTAAGGCCTAACTAACGTTTACCATATATGATTAAACTGTATAGAAAACATAACTATTATTTAGTAATTATGTTTATGATACGCTTTATGGTACATAAAGTGTAGGGGAGACTGGGATAGTTGTCACAAGGGGCATGTCACAGTGCAAATATCGCCTATATAATCAAAACTGAATGGTCACGTTATCTAGGAGTAGGTTCACTTACCGCTCGTCTACGTCATTACAAAATTTGAATAATATCCGTTGCATTGTTTTCCGTAAATTAGCGGTTAAAAGATTTACAGCAAGTTGCGTGAGGGTTTGGTCTCACGAACTATGTACAGATGTAAATCCATATTATGTTTGTCACAACTGTGACTCTGAAGATAATATGCAAAGATTCGAGTTACTTGTCTTTCGCAGAATAAATAATAGTAAATTAGTAATCTATTTTCTTTATAGAATTGGCACGAGTAAATGCCATATTACGCATAATTTAACATAACCAAAATAAACTCAGGAAATGTGAGAAATATTTATTATAAATCAAATCAAAAGATGTGTAGGTGTATAAATTTTCACTTTAAACCTAAATAAATTGATATTATAGACCCTAAAACTAGAAATGACTAAAAACTGTGACAATTAACCCCGGTCTCCCCTACCGTAAAGCGTACGGGGATCTAATACCTACATCATCCCTCACAATCTGCCTCACAAGTGCGCCACAGATCACTAAAGAATACTGAATTTATTTAAAGAATTAATGAGAATGTTTTCATGATTTAATATTTGAGTGTTTCTTCCAAAAAAGTAACATTTCTATCTTTAAAGATTCTAAAGTATTATGTATCTTCCTTATTTATTTTAATTCATAGTATTATATACTAAAAAGTGTATAATACTGGCTACCTATATTTATAATTATGTGGAAAAGTATTGGTATTTTATTATGAAGTAAATTATTGAATTCAGTCTATGGAAATGATTTAAACTGCGGCGCGAGCTGGAGGTATTGCGGGGTCTCAGAAAAAGTTTAGTGGGCCTCAAAATATTTGCAAAAAATAATTTTTTAATCGAAAATTCATATAATTTTAATAATAAACATAATTTGCAAATGTTAAATACATGTATTTGTATATTCGACAAAGAATTACAAAGAAGGTCGGTTACAGGTCTAGGTCGGTTACAGGTCTCTCTGTAACCGACGTCTGTGCTGGCCCTGGCGCGAGATTCTAGGAAAGCATTTTAGTTATCATTATGGTTATGACAATATAGTCATTACATCAAAATTCGATTTAATTTATCAGTAAGTATCTACGTATGCAAATTTACTTTTTATTTTCTTAGAAATATAATCACATATAAAAAAAAGCAAGAAAATTCTAGTTTCATTAAAATAAAATACATCCTAAGAAAATATTGGCCAGTCTGCTTTTATAAGAAGTGTAAAAGGCGCAAGAATTTTTTTAAAAAAAGAAAAAAAGGCAACATCGGTACTTTTTAAAAAGTTTAAGAATTAAGATGATCTATTGTAACCAAACAAAATAAATTGTATTATATACGAAAGTGATAAGCTTACGAGTAATTCATACATTTATTTACGATTCGTATTATGAAAGAAAAATTAAAAAAATAAAAATATTAGTAAAATTTGTTCCAACTTTTTGATTTACTTTCAAAAAGCAAAAGCAAGTCCTTTAATAAAGCATTGCCCCTATAGACATTGGCACTAACAAGTAATCAGAGACTTGATAAATTGAAAATTTATACATGCAGATTTTAGTGTATCTGAAAACGTGAAAAAAGCATTATACTTTAAAATTGACTCTGGTTTAGTACTTTATGCAAACTTGTTTAAAGATTAGATTTATTTAAAAATTTGTTCTAGTTTCTGAAAAAGTATTCCTACCAAAAACAACTCTCTAATTACACAAAATAGAAAATTCTATGAAAAAAATAATTTAAATTTTTTAAAGTTGATAACAAAAACATTCGATAAAAAACGACTAATAAAATTTTTCATTGTTAATATGAATTATTTTCAAAGAAAGCTTTCGCTATTGTGTTTCGAGTTTTTATGTTATCTTCATCTCACGAATTTGGACAAAATGCTTCACCCATTTCAAAGAGAAATTTGAATCCAATCGAGCACCGAACAGATGAAGTTGCTCTGCTCAGTGCGAAACAGGATTTACCTGGATTTGGAAAATTCTCGAACATAATTATTCGCGACGAAGATAATTATTTAAAATATTTGTAAAGATTCCTGTCCTATCGAACTACAAAACTGGTATACAACATCTCGATTGGGATTTCGAAACGATCCGAGGACATGTAAACAAACAAGACGACAAATAAATAGACAAAATGAAAGTCCATACCATTCTGACAAAATTTCTAAGACTGCATTCACTCCAGATATACAGACGACTAAAATAATGAGATGTTCTAATCAACCATCGAATGAGATTAAACGAAGAAAAACAGATTGGCTGAAAATCCAATTAAATATAAAAGAAAGAAAACCAAAAGAATTAAAGACCTAATCGAGAAACGGATCGTTGACCAGCCCGTGATCACTATAACAGACATTCGAATGGACACCGCTACGATTAAATCGGAACTATCATCTACCGAAAATAGCATGATTATATATTGATTATTAAATATACTGTACTTATTATCATAATTTGTCGTACGTTCGTTCAGATGCAGATTAAATTCTAGTCGAAAACCTCCTTTGT